ATTTAAATTTATATATCGAGCCATATAAAATTAAAAAACTGCGCGCGAGATTGTACCAAATTATAATATATTAATATGTATCCAAACCTTTATCACTGATAAAGGACATTCTTGGGAGTATAATCCACTAAAGGTGTCAATTTTGTTAAAACCTTTCAAAGCATGGTTTTGCTGTGTACCAACCCATATATTATATCTACCAAATTTAGATTCAATTTTATCGGATTTAGAAATTTTGTATTTGTTGTAATGTTTAAATTATTATTTTTTTACGTTTGCAGGATGAAACAAAATTTAGATAACTTATATTTGAGAATGCTACTCGTTATAAAACTTTATATTCTTGCGAAACCAAGCAAGTTATCACGAGCATATTTATTATGTATCTGAAACCGACTGGATCTCAAATTAAACAACATCTTCCTTTTATATCACGTAAGTTAAAGTACTCTTTATCTAACTTTATTGGAATTGAAGTTGAGAATGATAAACTTAAGGCATATCATAGGCGAACAATTATTTAGTAGGCAACAAATATGAAACACCGAACTCATGTCTATCTTCTAAAATAATTATTCCTATAATAAAGTCAATAAAAATAGATACGCGGATTTGTAATATTTATCTTAGAAAACTTTAAAAAGCCTATGCATTTGGACAATGTCAAAAAATAGATAATGTGGTTCAGATATCGCTTTTAACATTCAATCAATCAATTGATTGATTTCATAATTTCAAGAATATCGAGAAGTTCGCGTTCTAACTTTTGGGTACGATCGCAATAATCGAGCAAGTCACCATGAGAATCTCGTAAGCTTTCGCGGAGTACGGTACTATTGGTTAAGGGATCGATACTTGCGATATCCGGAAATCCAAGGACGAATTCGGAGATTTCATTGTTATCACCAGGAACTAACAAGGGTTCCAAAATTCTGTTTTCTTCACTGTTTTTTTCAGTATCATTGACCGCACGTCTGACTTCATTTTTCAAATGATTTGATTGATAATTCAGAGAAAAGACAGTAATGATGCGACAAGGTGGAAATACCTACTATAATGCCTGCATTTGGAAACAGCAATGCATTCGTAACTCTTTTCAATATGGTACCATTTTAATGGTTCGAAAAGCCATGTAACGTAAAATGGGACAACAGAAAGAAGGCGGGAGAAAAAATGAAACATGATTAATTGCTTCGATAATTTTATCTGGGTAATTATTTTTGAAGATGAAAATGATGGATGTGTTTTTTTGACACCTACTTTTATACAACAATGTAATTTTAAGGAGCACGATTATAGTATCTGAAAAAATCACTGTCTACCTTCAAAAATAATTACCCATCTATGTGTTTTACATATTGCGTATAATGCACATATCAACACAAACTTTGTGTATAATAACAATGTTTGTACTGTATAGATATCCAAAATTTACATGCAGTATGTCGTATTGGTATAAAATATCCTTACGTACGATTACTGAATAAAGTATTTTATCCAGAAGGTTGTGTAACTAATTTGTTCGAGATAAGTACAATACGAGTACCATTTTACATTATATAAAAACTAGTATTTTCATATTAAAGTATTATTTTAAAATTTAAAATATAATCAAAATTATATTAACATACACTTTAGCAAGAGCAGAGTTTAAGTTGCTATCTTGGAATGCAGAAGAATGTTCCCGTGCTTTCGATTAATATATTGTAAATCAAATTATAATTTTATATTATAAAGCCACAAATAGTTTATTAACAGTTAAGGGACATTTCCCTCCCGTTGTTGTTACACACAATATAAATTGTATTATAAAAATAACATTTTGAGTCTTGATTAAGGGAAATGTCCCATGACTATTAACATTATTAAAATTTGTTAATATTAATTGAAAATGTTTTATCAATTATAAGTATTATTAAATAAATACTTGTAAAATTAATAATTTAATTGTTCTTTTATATTTAATAAAAATAATTTTATCAACAAAAATAGCTTGATGGTAATTAATATTATTGATTATGGAGTTTGAATTAACAATTAATTTTGATTAATTAAAAAAATAAATATAATAGTTGTAATTTTTAAATAAAAAATTAATTAATTATATTGCTATAATGAAATATGATAAGTTAATTACTTCAGTTTAATTTACAGTATATTATGCAACAATATAGCATATTATATCTTTAAAAAAGATATGTAAATTTAATAAAATTATTGAAAAAACATAAATCTATTTGTTAATCTTATATTTATTTTGAAAATATTTGCATAATTAAAAATATAACTCAAAATTCATATATTATATTTTATAGAACTCCAAATTAATTCCAGTTAGCTTGATACAAAACTCAAAAGAGTTAATCAAATTTTATTTTTATAATCTGAATTAATTTTATAATTGAGTTAGAATTTTAAAAGCTTGACTTGACTTGTGAGCTATATATTATATAAGAAAAATAAAATAAAATAGTTAAATTAAATAAATAATATATTGTTAGTTAATATTTAATAAATATATTTTTACAATTAAAATATTACAATTTTTATTATTTATTTTTATTTTTAATTTAACTTCTTGAAAATATTTATATAAAAATTTAATTTAAATTTATAAATATAGCTATAAACAAGTTTAATTTTTAAAGATAGAAATCTATAATATATATCAACTAAGAACAAATTAACTTTAGATAATATCTTTATAACAAATAGTATTTGAGACTATAGCATTTAAATTATATATTCACATAAATAATGTTTAATATTTATTGATGAACTTTATAATATTTTTATTAATATTATATTATATTATTACATATAATAAATTATTATATAAATAATTTTCTATCTTTATTTTTTTATATATATTAATTATTTTTAATTATTGAAAGATCTGAAAATATCCTTAACTACTGAAAAATTCAATATCCAAATTATATAATATAAATATAAGTATCTTAGTAATTCAATTTTCTATTTGTACAAACTTAAGTACAAGTTTTATTAAACTCTTGAAAAATATAATAAACAAAAATAAATATAATAACAAAATAATTGACCAAAATTTTAGCTTTAATTATTTTACTACTAGTTAGAACTCTAGTTCCAATATACTATTTTTCTCAATTAGTGACAACCATTTTATTCAAAAACACAAAAATACAAAATTTTTTGTTTAAAAAAAAACAAATAAAATTATTACATGTTATTATTGTTATTATTATTGCTATTATTATTATTATTATTATTCTGTTTTTCTTGCTTTTCTTGATAATTAAGAGAACAATAACTAGGATTCATTCAAAATTTAATTATATTCAATTTGGATTAAGTTTATACTCATATTTAATAAGTATTCAATCTTTATTATATGAAAAGCAATAATGTTTTTTTCTATTTCAAAAATAAATTATCTTGTTCAAATTAATGCAAACATTTTTATAGATATTTAATATATTTTTTCAAATATTTAATTATGACTTTTAAAAGATTTTTATTTAAGAAATAAATAATGAAATAACTTTTGGACATAATAATAATAATTGAGAAAAATTATTAATGCTATATATGAAAATTTTGAAGTTTTTAAATAAAAATTATCATTATATTGAAAAAAAATACAAATATAGTATTTGATAAATAAAGATTAAATAAATATAACAAGCAAAGAAATGCTAATCTGATAATATATAATATATCAATATAAAAATACTTATTAAATTTTGTTAATACTTAAGTATTTTTCAATATAGTAAAATTTTAAAAAATATTAAACAAATAAGTCTTAAATATAGTATGTCAAGTATAAAAAATATTAATTTGAAAATATATAATATATTAATATAAAAATATTTGTATAACTTTATTTATTTTAAAAAAATTATTATATTGTAATCAAAATAGTTTTAATTAAGTATACAAATAATAGTTTTTAGACCTATGGGTCTATAGTACAGTAGTAGTGCTCCATAGATCACCAAAAGAAGGTCTAGAGTTTAACCTATACATGTGGCATAAATTATTTTGCTGTTGACTCAATTCCCAAAATTCTTAAAAATAATTGTGTCATGACTCAATTATTTA